GTTTGTACCTTGACGGTAACAAATTTTATCGGCTTGAATTTTTTATTGTTCCGATATGCTTTTTTTTTCGGGAAATTTAATACATTGATGATTTTTTTTCCTTTTTTTTTTTTTTGTAGGAGAAAATGCAGCATCAGATTGAGTCCGAGAAAGAGGCATATGTCGCACCGGTGAAGAAATATCAGGGTCGACTTTTTGGTTTTCGTAGGCATGAATAGCCTCGCATTTTCCGACTTTTAACAGTTGTTGATTCTATGGTGATAGTGCTTAACTTGTAAATGTTGCTTTAAAACTGTTATTTCACTTTTTTTTTTTTCTCATATTTCGACGCATTTTCATTGCTAATTTTTGCTCTGTTGCTACTGAATCGGCACTGCAGTTGTTATAATTGCTCGATTTTGTTTCAGCGTCGTATCTTTGTTTTTTTTTTAACTATAAACCTGCCTATCTTACTCATTTTTAGGCCCATACCACCATGTCTTCTTAACAATGCCCTTCAAAATTGGCACAGAATCTACAGTCGTTTTTTTTTTTGCTGAAATTTGTGGCAGTCAATTTCAGACGTAGAATTCGGATCGAGTTCAGTACACCGATCTGCTGACGTTGGGCGGACCGTTTTTATTTAATTTGTTTTTTATATTTTAATTCCTGACCCTCATTACGTCGGCCGGTGTTTGCAGCCCTTCGGACGGGCTGCTGTTTATAGTTTCCATTAAAGTGATCCTGGTGGGGCCTCCACGGGCCGTGCTGTTCTGCACTGTCCACTTCACAATTCCCTTTTTCCGCCCTCATTTCGCAAGGTGGTTCCCTCTTCCCTTCCCTCTCCTCGCAGTGCATTCGTCTAGATGCCCACCAACAACGATTTTATAAATTTGATTTATGCTGCTTGTTAGTTCCTGCGTTTTTTTATTGGCAGCCAATAAATGGAGGATTTTGTTTGCATGGCTGACGCCCTCCTCGTCTATCTTATTGTTCTCCACGCTTCTGCTCTATTTTGCATTGGTCTTTTTTCTATAAGCACATCAAAGCTACTCCGTCCGAACGGTTAAGGTTAGCCCCTGGCTTATTGCAGGGGGTGGGTCCAAGCAGAGGGGCAGGGCAGGGGGTTTTTCGCCCCCTCCTATGACACAGGTGCCAGTGTTGCAAAAGCCCGGGTCTGTTCATTGGTGCGCCAGCCACATCAGGTTTTCCATTGCTGCAGCAGTCTAAATCCGGTTATGGGCATAAAATGAAGCATGCTAAATGTAATTAAGTCAAATTGTTGATAGGGGAATGACCAAAAATTGCAT